TTCAATTTAAGAAGATTTTCTAGTCGATCATGATTATTTTAATATATGAAGACACTAGGGTTTGTCGGTTTTCAAAACCGGTTTTCTGACAAAAATGATGAAATTTGAAACCGTTTTTATCGAAAAAATCGGTTTACGTATAAATGGAAAATAACAAATATACCAGATGGAAGCAAGCGTTTTGATACTTGGAATCATATCGGTTCGATATAACATTTGGAATCATATCAGGATGTTATGGTTCCCAGAAAGGTTCTGTGTAGTCTTTTCTCTATTGTTATAAATTTAGATTTTTGTATATAATGTATATACTAATTTAGATCATTGTGACTTCTTGTTGAAGGAGTGAATTGCTCCACTCAAACTTTAAAACCAAAAGTTTTTGGCCATAGAAGCCACAAATAAAAGAACAAAATTTTTAGAATTGTTATATATCACGCTTTAAAAACGATTAATCTTAGTGCGGTTGCAAGGGAGAGAGTATTTTTCTTTCGGAAAATTTTGTGAGTAAACAAAAGACACTTCTAAATTGAAAAATAGATAAACGTCCTCTGCTTTTTACAATCACATTCATTAAACAAAAAAAAAATATTTTTTTGAAATTAATTAATTAAAATTGTTCAGAATAGAAAACACTCACATTTTTTGCTAATTGTTTTTAGAATTAAAATTGACACATAACAATATGTATCGATATGTATCTATTTTTTTATTTTTTTTTATTTAATAAGTTAAGTTTTTTATTAAAAATGTATTATTTTTATTTATTTAAACTTTTTCACTATCATAAAATATTACATTCTCATATGTGAAATTGATGCATGAATAACAAATGAAGTTATTTAATGCAGATCAACTATTATTTCTTTGTTCTACTAATTAAAATAAAAATACATTTGTTTACTATCGATAAAATTGAATAATAAATGAATTTAGTCAAAACTGCTTGAAATCACACAAAATTTGCCTATATTTTTTAGTTATTACAGAATATTCGAGCAAAAATTGATTTTTTATATAAATTCGAAAACCGGCTTAAACCGGTTTTCTGGAAAATTTACTATTTGAAAACCGGTTTTTAGAAGACACTTTTTACTTGCAATCTTCTGTTTTGAGAATATTATGCTCAAATGTATCTATTTTAAATTAACATGGCCATAATAAGTTATTATTGTAGTAGTAGTATAGTAGGTGGAAAATATTAAATTTTATTTTAGAAATCGGTACTCAGTGGTGGTGTAATCAGTTCGGACGTGGGCTAGCACGTACTAGTCTTGGGTTCTCGCTGGTTCGATTTCCGCCACGATTAAAGCCCGACATCAGGCAGCTATGATGTCAAATTTCCACTTGAGTTCATAGATCTCAAATGAAAATTGTCTCTCGTGGCTATAGCTGCATATAATAAAATGTCAACAAATACTTTGAGTATAGTTACTTAGTCAGAACTGGATTGGACAACTACTGGGTTGCCATCCATTCATAAGCTATGTAATAAAGTCAAAACAATTACTGAATGTTTTAGACATATTTTAATTAAAAGTATAACAAAACTATTTTTTAGCAGTTTTATCTCGAAATCTTTGAATGTGAGCGTATCTTTCACCTTTCAGGTTTGATTTATATTGATCAGTTGACTTTCTACCTCTAATTATAAGTTAACCTACCCACTGGCGTTCTATGCGCGTTATCTCACGCACTTTTAGCAAAGCAGGATAAAATACATCATCATTATTGTGACGTTCGTAATCATGGCTATAATTTTCTGGATCAAATCCGTGATCTATTGCAAAAGTCTAATCGCACGTTATCATTCTCAATTGACAAATAGCCGAACGCCCACGAGAGCGGATTTTCAGCATTTCAAGGAGCACAAATTGTGTGCATGATTTGCGATACTTATCGGACAATATCTCGACACGCGTTTGTTGGAGCTTTTCATTGCTAACATGTAATAACACACATAGTGCTGTTTCTGGAGGTTAATTCGACACGATTGCGAAATTAAGCGGACGTACTATTATATAATAGGTTTTATAGAATGTTACAAAGTTTAAGTAATTATCCGAGCAATGGACAGGAGCACGCAAACGACTACAATACCAATGTCTTAAGTATTCTATTTATTTTCGTTTTTAACATAACTAAATCAAATATTAAAAGTAATGAACGCGCAATATATTTTATTCCATATTTATGAATAAAGAAAAAAATCAGCATACTTAGCTTACAGTATGTCATAGAAAGGCGCGCTGCTCATTTAACACCAGGAAGTATTTTCTGTTGGCTTTCACAAAATTTTTGACATTTTTTTATATTCATATGAATTACAATCAGTTCATATCATGAAGACATTTCGTAATTGTTTTTTTAGGTTCTGCATATGGATATTATCCTTCCTAGTTGTGATTATATTTTGAAGTGATTCATATTAGTAATTTTAACTTCCCGTAGGGTAAGTTATAGTAATCGGCCGAAAATCGAAAATGAAAATTTTTGCATATCTTCACGTTTCAGAGGTTTTTGAACATTTTGGCATACCTCAGAAAAAATAGATGTGTGTGTGTTTTGTATAACGCATTTTTAGTCCACGTTTTCGGGCGCACGAATCACCCGATTTGGATGTTTCAAAAAACATTCGATTTTTATTGATAGGGAGATGTGCTGATTAGTTTTTGGCAAAGGCAGGTCCAGCTGTTTCGGAAATACCGAGCTAAATGTGCAAAAAATGGTAGTTTTTGAGATAACTAAGCATCCGATATGAATGATTCAAAAAACTTTCTGCTTGTTTTGACAAAATAATTGCTTTTAGAAAAAAAATATTACAATTTTTTTTTCAATTTTATTTGTATATCGAAAATAATTCAGATTTTAATTTTAATTCTGACTAAAGTTCTAAAGATCACTTATATACTCTAAATAAATAATTATAACATTTTAATTTAGTTTATATAATTCTTATAAATATTAGACAATATTAGAGTATTTATAATAATCTATTTGAAAACATTTAATATTCCACGAACATTTCGTTACGTTACGGGAAGTTCCAGCAATTTGCACTAAGGCACGATGTCATACACCACTAGTTTTATAAACTTTTATTACAACGCCCTGAAAGGCTATTTCTACTTAGAAACATATTTATAATTCATATTTTGAGTGAAAATGGATAATAAATGCTGAAGAATCAATAATTGATTTCTCAGTTATGTATCATCGAATTGTGGGAAAATTTTAAGCGGGTCTAAAGGTCCGCAGGTAAAAAGGTTTACCACCAATATCTCAAACACCAATAAAATTAAGAATTTTTTAACAGCAAAATTGGAAAGTAGAAGGAAAAAAATATATAACCAGCCATCACCTTGATTCTTACGACGTTGCTATCTGGAGAAAAACAGCAATGTTTAAAAATCCATAACAAAAGTATTTTCTTGCGTTGTTATTTGTTTTGATTATGAGCACTGTTGCTTTGTTTTCCAAAACTTAATATATTTTTTAAGTATACGTTATTTAATTGTTTCATAAGATGTATTATTAATTTTAAGTTACATTCAACAGTTTTTTATATAACCTCTATAAAAACTTACACCTGAGTGGGGTAGAAGGGACCAACTAAATCCTGTCAAGTAAAAAAAATTAATTAAAAAATAGGAAGTAAAAAGTAAATTAAGTTAAATTTAAGCAATTTTACAAGAGAAAAATTAAATATGTGGTAATTTCAACTCTGATGATAAATGTTTCTGATTAAATACCAGAAATACCAGTAAAAAATGCACCCATGAAATTTATATTTTGCAGTGGTTAAATAATGTAGCTATTATTTTGTAAGCACGCTTTGGAATTAAAATGAAACATTGGACCTGTTTGCTCCCTGGATGTCCCAATTTACCCCGCCTATGGGGTAAAAAGGACCAGGTTACAAAATTTTAAGAACAGCAAAAAAAACATTTCTAGAGTAATGAATCTGGGATTTTTACTAAAACTAGTCAGATAGTTAATTATTTGATATGTGTTGTGTTATTTATTATGATATAAGGGAAAGGGAAGTTAACTACTCAATAGTTGATTTTCCATTCAATAGATAAATTATAACAATATTCTAATGATTATAATAAATGTAATGTTGCCAAACGTTGTTGTTATTCTTAAATCGGACGTCGATTGAAAATCGACATGTGTAACGCTTTACTTTGTCACTCATGGCCAGCTTTTGCAATAATGCAAAAGTGCCATGTTCGAACGCCTCCGTTTATGTGTTATAACACATCCAATGCGCGCTGCTCACACCTACTCAGAGTTCGCTTTTAATCTGTAACGATGCCGCCGCGATTTCTCACTCAATAATAATAATAATACGCTGAACAAGAATACAAAACGACTCGGCTAAGGATTACTCGACAGCTGGTCAAAATATTACACCGCAGTCTTGAGATAAGAAACAGTTTTACATTGTGGAAATAAATTCATTCTTAAGTAATGAATTATCTACTGTTTTGAAACAATTTTTTTCCCAAAAGCAATTTTTTTCTCAAAACAAGCCAAAAGTTTTTTGAATCATTCAAATCGGATGCTCCGTTCTTTCAAAAACTCTATTTATATTTTCTGCACTTTTTGCTCCGTATCTCCGAAACGGCCAATCTGCCTTTGCCAAAAACTAATCAGCACATCTCCCTATCAATAAGAATCGAATGTTGTTTGAATCATTCAAATCGGTTGATCCGTGCGCCCGAAAACGTGAACGAAAAATAGTTCCCATGCATACATACACACACATCAATTTTTTCTGAGGTATATCTTCCTATGGATATTTTAATTTTGTCTATTTGATTAAGAATTTTACTTCCATTAACATAAATCATTATTTTATAGAAGGGTTTTATGTTTCGCCAGAAAATTTGATTTGCCAATTTTGTGTTCTCTTATATGCCAATGTTATACCATTCTGAATCGTTTTACACCACAAACAAGTATACATTATGTAAAGAAATTAACGTTTAAATAATTAATCATCTTTACCTATGGGGTTGCTCATAGGTAAGTGTGTGGCTAGAACGACTGAACCTGAAACAGAGGTTCCAGGTTCGATTTCGCTTCGAGCAACCTGTTGTTAAGGAGCAGTAAGACAATTTTTACTTCGGAATATAAATAGTAATATGTTTCTAAGTGAAAATAGCCCTAATCCGGCATTGCTGCATCAATAAATATTCACCCTATTACATAAATTGTAATTTATTCTTCATGATGAGACAACTGTTTGAGTTGAAATCTGTAAAACGGATATAGTATTAAGTCAATTCAGCAAAACAGTTTATAGGACTCTTACCAGCCAATTCTGCTGTAAAATAGACTAATGTTATCGCAACATACTAAAGCTGCGGGTTTCAAATAAAACGGTACTAAAAACTGACAAAATGCTATGTATTTCCTGTGCTATCAGGCGTTTTACACATAAAATCTAACTTTTCGCATGTATTATTATGACACAGAAAGATGCACTTATGATAAGATTCTTTTTTGATGTTTGTGCGATTTCTAGGTAAGTTTTATATCCAAAACACCTGACTGCACAGGATCCACATAGCTTTTTGACATATTTTAGTCTAAATGTAGCGTTTTACTACATTTTTTCATTTTCTAAAGCTCTATAGTCCACTCTGGGTTTTCGTTACTCGTGAAACAACTTCAGAGGTATAGCAGATTTTTTGCTGTTATTTAGCAGAAGATAAAAATATTTTATTTGTTTCAGTCTGATAACAACATCTAGTGAAAAACTCATTATGTCCTCACCGTATCTCAGTTTGCCCCGATTTTTGAGATGGTTTACTATAGTTACCAACTTTTTATTTCTGAACATCATTCATGATTTAAAATACTTTAAAATAAGGGTATTCCATGGCGTAACAGTTAAATACACGGACTTGTATGGATGGGGTCGTAAGTTCGAACCCCGCTCTGGACAACTTGACATCGTGCAGTAGCGACGTCCGTTTTCACTTGCAAATATGTTTCAAATTTCACGTTTCATATCAAAAATGTTTTTTCAATTGAAAATAATTCTTTTCGGGCACTGCGGTGTGAAATGGCAATGGCAAACCTCTCACACTATTCTTCCCTGAATCGAGTTGGAGTTTAATTTGCTTACATAAGTACATACTAAAGTATGTACTTATTTGAATAAGAGATACATATTTTTTTGACTTATTCAAAAAACAATATAAAACATTATTTTAAATTATTTTTCTTTCAGGCAAGCCACGACGATTCTCTCGATTTGGAAGAAATCGAGGAAGAAGACGAAACAGTGGAAGAAGCAGAAGAGAGTAAATTTTGCACGTTGCCGCGCAATGGACCAGCTGCGAGAGGGACATTCACCATAAAACAGGTGCGCTCACAAATTAATAATACGGAGTATTTATATTACTTATGTGTATAATAAGCTGCTCAAAGAAGACTTTTGTCCTCTACAATATACAATAAAATTTGAACGAATAAAATAATTTTCTTTTTGCACACGACTATTTATTAGCTATGTTTTCAAGTGAAAATAGCTTTTCTTGGACGTGTCTGTATCAAATTGAATAATATATCTACCCTATAAGATGAATTTAGATAATAATAAATAATCAAATATGGATGGTTTATCAATAGGGTTACCATCTAAAAATACGTCGTGAGAAGTTCTAGTTCAACAGCTCATAGGGCAAAATTTCTGGTTACAGAAATCAAACCATAATAATAATTATAATAAATGTTAGTCTGTCCGAAGGCAGGTCCATGGTGTGAGAGCCACCACAAATCAATGATTTCCTCACCCTTCCTCGTCTATAATTTCCATTACCACTATTACCCTTCCGTCTATCATTTCCATTACCCCTTGGTTTTCTTACACATTTTTCTTTTGAACAAACTTCTGCTTTTATGCTTCCTGGTCTTGCGCTTAGGCTTTCAGTTTCCTGTATATTTTCTTCTCACGTAAGTCGTCAATCATCTGCATTCCTCTCCTTCCTAATCCTTTTACGCTTCCATTTTACTTGTTTTATTTGTGTACTAGGAACTAGTTTTCTTTTCTTTTTCTTTATTTGGTATTTTGCCTGTCTACTTTATCTTTTAATCAGAACATAAGTATGAAAAAAAGAAAAACTATCAATTATGGATGACAAAGTGCACCATTTTATTTTATCGCTAGATCAAATAGCTTTATTTGTTTTTATACTACATATATAAAAAATATGTATTTGTTGGGGATACATAGCAACAGCCATAAAAACATGGGTATTCTGCACTACGTACTTGTGACTAAATAATATATTTCTTTCATATATTTAGTAAAAGTATGGTATCAGAAGTCGTTCTCACATTTTCAATTCTGCTGATGAAATAAATCTACATTTGTTGAATTTTTAAAGATTTCAATTTTTTAGGCAATATTTACAAAAGGACCCGGTCACAAAGGATTAGGATTCAGTATTGTGGGCGGGAGAGATTCTCCGAAAGGTTCAATGGGAATTTATGTCAAAACTATTTTCCCCAATGGCCAAGCAGCGGATTCTGGAAGTGTAAAAGAAGGTAATTATAATTATTATTTAAATTATATTGGAATCTAGAAGTCTAGAAGAAACCGTTTAATAATAATGAATACTTATGTCACCATATAAATGGCAAATAAAATCATAAAAATATTGAATTGTAATTCGTTTCAGTCATAAGTCCCTTAATTATTTGGTTTAGGTTGAAAACTAAGCAAATTCTTGACGTCTGGAAATAAGTTTTACATGCAGAAATATATTGATTCACTTTCGATATTAACCTTAATAAATTTTATAGTCAGTTATGTTTTATCCATTTGATATAACGTAGATTAGATTTAAGTATAATTGTATGCGAATATCTAATGTACTAGATTACAAACAATAAAACAATAAATAACTAGTGGTGCTTGGCAACGTGCTTTAAGGTAAATTGCTGGAACTGCCCGTACCAATAATTACAATTTTAAAAAAGATTCAATTTTCTTTTAGAACTCTAAATCGAATATAAAAAAAATCGATTTTTGAGATTTTTAAAATTTAAAAAAAAAAATGACCTTACGGAACCCATAGAAAAGTAATCAAAATTTGTTCTTATTATTAAAATATCCATAAAATATGTGATAATTTGATGTGCATATGTCTTATAATAATTTTTGTCCGCCGAATGGCCTTTTTTTCTATTTTGTTATTGGATTCTTAAGAGATATGGAAACTTTTTTACCTAATAAGATTATGACTTAGCATTGGCTAGATCAATACATGGCTAGATCAACTAGTATATTATATATATATATATTATATATATATATATATATATATATATATATATATATATATATATATATAATATACTAGTTGATCTAGCCATGTATTGATCTAGCCAATGCTAAGTCATAATCTTATTAGGTAAAAAAGTTTCCATATCTCTTAAGGATTTCTTAAGGATCCAATAACAAAAATGAAAATAAATGCCATATATATATATATATATATATATATATATATATATATATATTATAGAATTTTATGATATGAGTGGAACGAATATTAATTGTTTAATATGAACAAAACAGCACTCAGATTTGTTTAACACAACTTTATTTTATGATTACAGACGTTTCGAGACCATGGTGTGTCTCATCTTCAGTGTAATTTCAAAAACAGTTACTTATATACTACACATTCTTTAATAATTTATTCAAATTTCATTTAATTTTTGATATACAAAAAACACCAACTATTCCTTGCAATGCTTGACACAGTACTAAAGAAACATAACACTTACAGAAATATTCTAAACAAATTTGAAGTACTTATATAGATGGAGACAGAGAGGGTATCATTATAATGTAAACAAAAGGAGTGCTATCGCATATAAAATCGATAAAAATGAAAAAACAAATTAATTTATTGAAAAGAATAAGATAAATGAAAAAATTTATAAATTATTAATGATGTTTATATAAGTGTCATGTAAAATATTTGTGTCTGTTCTTAGATTTATGCTATTGTTAGTCCGAACTATTAACATTGATTCTGCCATGCTCCGTTTAAATAAGTCTTTCTCATGGAATAAAATTTGGGGATTGTCAAAATCAAACTTATGGTTGTTGATATTAGCATGATCCACAAGTGTACTTTTAAATTTTTTGTTATCTATTTTTTCACATTGTAATTCATGTTGCCTGAGTCTCTTTTCTAAGTTCTGGCAGGTCTGGCCAATATAAGAGCAATTACAATCCAAACAATTTACTTTATAAACTATATCTTTCTTTTTTGTTAATGGAGTTTCATCTTTAATTTTGGAATATAAAAATTTTAATTGTTTTAATGGAGAAAAAGTAATACGAATATTGTGTTTTTTGAAAAGTCTTTTTGATAATTGGTTAAAATTATTGTCAAGATATGGAAAATTAATGAAAAAGGTTTTTTCAGGAACACTTGTTTTGCCAGGCTCTTCCGGTTTCTTATCAAAAGGTTCAAGTAATTTTGCGACTCTATTTTTAATAATTGGACAAATTAACTTATATGGAAAATTATTGCCAAGTAGGATCGTTTTAACTAATTTTATGTTTGTATCATAAAACAGGGGATCAGATAATAAAATAGCGTGATCTACAAGATTTAGAATGGTAGAAATTTTTATATTGAGAGGAACATGCGAATTAAAATTAATGTATCTCCCGGACCAACTATCTTTTCTGTACCAGTCTGTATAACATACACCGCCTCTATTAATGAGTTTTACGTCAAGAAAATGTAACGTCGAATCATTTTCAAGTTCCTGAGTGAATTGTAAAAAAGAATTGTACTCATTGAATTTGTTGAAAACATTATCTATATCTTTTTTATTAAGTAATATTAATGTGTCATCGACATATCTGAAATAGACCATAGGTTTGGAAGGTAAAGAATTTAAGACATGATTTTCTAAATCTTGTAATACTAAATCCGCCAAAACAGGACTTAATGGGCTGCCCATTGGACAACCTCTCTTCATCGTATATATATATATATATATATATATATATATATATATATTAATTTTGATAATTAAAAATTACAAATTTATTGAATCCATGTTTTATCTTTCAGGTGATGAAATTTTGGCTGTAAATGGTCAACCGTTGCACGGTTGTAGCCATGCAGAGGCTATAGCTATGTTCAAAGCAATCAGAGCTGGACAAGTGCAACTGCATATTGGACGTCGAGGCGCTGGACGACGCAAACGTGATATTGTTACTGCTTCAAAGCTAAACTCTGTTAGCTTACCCAAATCGCCAGCCAATAATAATAATTCTCGTTAAAATGATGTCAAAATTATTAGACTTTCATTTTTACTCTATTATAGGAATTTACATATGTGTTTTTATTAGAGGATAGTTGGATAACCCGGACAATTAAGAAAACAAAAAAACTTGAGGTTACATATTTATTGCAAATGCACATTGAAACTTATTTTGATGTCTTTAATAAACGCTGGCGTGTAGTTTTTTTCTAAACAAAATGACTTCTCTTAATAATAAGAGACAGTTATTTGCTTAGATTCTCATTGCTAAAATTCGGACAATAAAATGATTAACAACATTTTTCTAAAGCTAAGCTTTGTCCTTGTTCAATATATATTGAAACATCCTAATAAAAGCTGCTATCAATAATTTAATTTTTATTTGGGCAAATTAATTTATTATTTTAAAATTTCATTTGGACTAAATTTGTATATAACTTCGACTAATGGATGTAAGACATTGTGATTAAGTATTTGTTTACTTACGTTAGTTTTTAAAACCTTGCTATTCCAATAGCTAATGTATGAGTAATTTTATAAATCTTACAGTATTATTTGGCAATCTATCTATCTTTATATATATGACTAAAAAAGAAGACTATATGACTAAAAAAGTAATGCAAAAAATATATTTTATTATAATAAATATTAAAATTAAAATGGTTTATATTTAAAATATCATACATATTTTACTTTGCACAACCTATATATTACAATGTATAGAAGTTGAATTTGAATAGAGGCAGAAAATTTTTAACTTTTATAATATTCTTTTACTTGAATTCAGATATAATATATATTTATTTTAAATAGACACTTTTTAACTATTGTATAGCTATTATCGGACTATATCAGAGTGACTGATACTTATTGCAGATTTACAGAATGCGAGATGTTTTTAATAATAAAACTGCTGGTGTTTGTGGTCCATCCATGTTATTGCTTATTTTTTTACTGTATTTTAATTTTTTTTTAATTCATATATTTTTTATTTGAGCTGCACTTATAGAAGTTTTTTTTTATAGTGATATACAAAAAAAATATTGATAAATATTTCTAAAATTTATTAATAGTGGAATATAATCATGATAAATAAATATAACAATGTTATATTTTTTGCTATATTGTAACAAATTTTAAATTGTGTGCAATTCATTGTGAATGTGCTACTAACTTTCATGAGCTTCCATATTTCGCAATTAGCATTTATATATTATAATGGTATGTGTGTGCGTGTGATTTTAATCTTAAAAGATGCTATTATATTCATTAACTCCGATAAACATATTTATATCTTGATTACAAATATATTATATTTAGTGGAGGCAAAATGAAGTTCTAGTCTTTAAATTTTGTAGAAGTGAATAATGCGGTAATAAATTTATCAATTTCTTTTGAATATAAATCTGATTTTTCAGGACAGTATGTGTTAATTAACATAAATCTTATATTATATGTAAAGTCTTTGATTCACTATCTACATATATTTAAATTCATATATGGTAGCTGATAATTCATATTTTAATTAAATCAAATGGTAACTAAAGATTTAAGAATTAAATTGTGAGTAATAATATCAAGAAATTAGTAAATAATTCTCTGCATGGGGCAGTTTTTAATCTTAAATATATTTCTATAATACTATATGTGTAAAAACTAATAATAAGTTTATTAATAGAAATAATGAATAGATATATTATATGTTCACAAACATATATAAATATAAATATATAAAAATAAACCAATAATACAATTATAAATACCAAAGGCTTAAGAAACAAAGATTGTATCATTGTCATAAAAATAATAAATCCTTAAAAATGGCAAGAATACAAAAATAATCAAATTAGTTTTTCCATTTTTATGTAATACTTATTTTTAAAAAATGTCGCAATTTATATAAGCAAAATTTTTTTTAACATGTTGCTTTATTTCGAATTGAACTGTAGACATGAAAATTTTATACATTGATATTTTTATATAAGTGCATGATATATTATAAAAATTCTGATCTTATATGTCAATACAAACTAATGTATTTTATAAAATAAATAAAATTTCAACAAAATACTATTAACGTTTCTATTCTATTCACATTTTTTAATATACTCATATATATTTATGAACTTAAATCTCTCTCTAAAAGGCTTTAAACTTTAAAAATTATTAATTTAATTTTTCTTTTTAAATACTTTTTATACTGATATTGGATGTTGAATCCAATCCTAATATTGAAATTTTAAAACAAAGGAATCTTTTAGTTCACAGTGGAGAGGTAAAAATTTTTTAAATTATTTAATATTATAAGTAATATTTAAATTAGATAAATGCGATAGCTCAATTTATAATTTTAAAATTTAAACAATTAAAATTATGTTCGAATATAGCCAAAATACTGAATTAAATAAATTTTAAAGCAGTTTAAGCACAATATTGCAATTAAAACTTAATTAAATACAAAAATTTAAATTGCTATGTTTGCTCCATAATAAATAAATTAGATGAAATTATTTTCTTGATTATTTTGCTGAGTTTTTTCAAAAATTTTACTGTTTCCGGTAACCGGGTTGCTTATATGTTTATACCAATTGATTATAATCCAACCAATTTACCAATTTACAGTTAATTATCTGTAAGATATGCGCCCTCGGTGATTTTCAAATTTCGTATTGCGCGGTTAAGAGCACACAGGTTGCCAACACCTATATCATATTATCTTGGATTACCTATTGTATATGGATTCCCTATATGTTTATTTATCTTGTCAAGACGTGATCCTTATCCCCAACCAATACATAGTCCATGTCTATGAAGCTGTCAGCTTGTCATACTTGTTTATCTATGCTGTCAGCCTTCTAGACCTTAGGCAATATAATAATGGCTGTCAGTTTCTATCTGATGTCCTTATATTTTTATAACAAACAAATCCCATAAATTTTGAAAAATGTGTACGGAGAATTTATGATTTTGCTCTCTGAAATATAATTTCATTACTCCTTTGTTACAATGTCGTCACAGATAATGAACAAAATTAGAAAAAATAGGTTAGAAAAAAAGAAAAAAACTAAAGGCAATACAAATATAGAAATAACCGAAAAACCCAAAGACGATACAGTTAACAGAGTCGATGTTGGAAAAGAAAAGACATTGGATAAGTACGTTGATATCTTGAATTCAATAACATATTAATAAACACGAATTATGTTTTAGCATGGCTGAATTGCATTGCAGATTTAATTTAAAAGCCATTCGATGTACAGTAGAACCTCGATTATCCGGACCTCGGTTATACGGATTCGCTATTATCCGGACATAATCGCGTCGGAACTTGCATATTTTACTAGTAGTTTTATATATACATTAATAATACATTCTTTGTTTTGCATATATGCATTTTTAAAGGGTGGTGTTATCCCCTAAAGATAAAATAAATATTATTGAATCATTAAAAAAAGACGAAGCAGGCTGTAAGTTAGCTGATAGGTATGGTGTAGGTACATCCACTATAAGCGATATTTTACAAAAACGATCAATAAATTATTCGTAAGCAACTTTTCTTCTTCATTGATACTTTACGTACCACCTGAATATTTTACCTCATGATTAATATTATATGTATAATGTAATCTAATTGTAAAAAATATGTAAGTGTTAATTTTCTAATAAACATCGATTTTTGTTGATATCTATGTATGTGTTTGTTATTTTTGATAAACAAAACATTATTCTTCATAATTTGGATTATCCGGATGCCTATCGACAACAATTAGTCCGGATAATCGAGGTTCTACTGTATCTCGATAAGGATAATCATCATTTAGTTTCGGGCGATGGTCGTCCGAGCCGCTTCTTTGTAATCAGTGTGAAAATTTTGTCCACAATTTTGATTTTAAAAATTCCAAAACTGTTTGTAAGATATTGGTTGAGAATCAGGTTGATTAGTTTGACGATTTTGATGAAATTTTGTACAATGATATATCTTATAGTCTGAAATATCATACGAAAATATTATAGGCCTGCGATAAGCGTTTTTTTATCTTTATTATTTTATTTGAATTTTAATATAAATTTCATACATCTCAGACAGGCAGAAGTGCCTGGTATGAGAGATCGTACAAAATATCTATACAAAGTATATATATATATATATATATATATATATATATATATATATATATATATATATATTCTACATATGATATGGTCATTACAACATTTTATCATTTATTCTATAATTCAATCATACTCATATTCATTCTTACATTCATGCTTTGGTCTAATTTATTTATCTAGATTTTTTTATAATATTCTTTTAACTTAATTTTTAATTGATTCTCTTCTTTGATCATCGGTATTTCTTTCGGGAGCCCATTAAATAATTTTATGGCACTCCATATAGTGTTTCGCCTGGTTTTATTTGTTTTAGATGATACATTTCCTGTTGGCTAGCATTGTGTTCATGTATTTTCTTATTTATAGTTATCGATGTGCATATTTTGATTTTGTTATGTGTAATCTTATGTATTAATTTGCACTTTTCTCATAACTTGAATTATATTAGAATTGAGAATTTTGTTGCACACTCATGTCATTCTAATCAGAAATTCTATTGAAGCATATGAACATTCTGTGCTGTTTCGCTGGTGTTTAATGATTACAGTTACTTTAATAAAATACATTTTCAAAATATGTAAAGATTGAAATAAAATGTGTGGAACAAATTTAATTTATACAATTGCCAATATTATAATTTTGTTCAAAGATATCAAATGAAAACCGTTTTTAATGAAAGCGAAATGTATATTTTTTAACATTTGAACATTTTACCTAAATAGCTGAATCTCAATTCTTATTGATTAAGTTGTAAACTTAAGTTATGTATAAGTATCGGGAAGTTCATGCAAGGCAAAATGCTACTTTCAACTAGTTTAAGTTTTTATTCATGCTTGTACATATTTCTTTATTTCAATAGCATATGCATGTTCTGAGCTGTTTTGTTACCAATACATCCAGATATAGTTTTTTTCTACTTTATGTAAATAATTTATTCTTTATACCTAGCGATAAATTATGCTTTATAATTTTATTGTACCATTTTTCTTGTAATTTTTGAATGTTATTACTTGACTACTCATCTTAATGTCATTCCATCATATTACAATTTTTTCAATATCAGTTTTCATATTGTTCTCCTTAATATTCCACATGGGGTTTGCCATCTTAAATTGTTTATATTTTTTTTAACTTATAAATTTTCTAGAATACCTGATTAAG